ACACGACCATCCAGCAGCAGTTAAAAAAGCCATTTTTGCTTATTTTCCATTCATAATTAATAAAAGGAGAATTCCTCAATTAGAATAAATAAGTGTTAACGAACAATTTAACTAAAACGTACCTATGCATTTCATCTAAAGAGATGACGAGTGAATCTATTAATTAATAGCAATAAATATTTTAAATTAAGACAAAACCAAAAAATTATTTCGTGCTTTATTTCCTATCAAAATACTTACAGTTATATAGATATAATTGATTTATGGTAAATTTATGCTAAAAGAAATAAGAAAACGATTAAGAACTGTATAGGATAGATATTTATGAACAGATAACTATAACGAATGAATTATTATTATTATTATAACCAGTTATTTTAATAAATTATGAAAATTTTATTTGGTCAAATATATATAGTTAATTCTACTACTTTATTTATTATTTTTATCTGTTATCGACTTTCAATTATTCACTTACTTGCCACTTATTTGAATTTAATTAAAAATAAAGAGATAAACAGAGTGATGGCTTATAAGCAAGCGTTACGATAAAATATCAGAAAAATTCAAAATGAATCGCTTGAATATTCAAATAAAATATTTTTATTTATATAAAGGTTATAAATGTATAATTATACGACTTTTAATTCATAGGTACAAATTACAATAAACACAAAATTATGTTTTAATTTTGCTAAGTACAAAATTTGAAGATGATCACAATACATATAATATACAATGCTGTTTTATAAAAAATATACATTTAATTCACTCGAATTATCTGCCATTAATTTATTTTTATTTAATTAGTCATTTTTTAAAAAATATATAAGTTTAAAAAATATAAATATTTTTCAGCTCGGAAAAACAACTGAATTCTTATTTTAATATTAAAAAAAAATTAATGAAAATAAAATAACACAAACAATTTTAACTTTTAATTATATCAATTACGGTTTTTTTTTTCACTAATATGATATCAACTTTATCGGGTACAATAATTGATTTACCAGTATTCAGATAATATTTTTCCTATTTTTATTCGTTTTATTTTTTAATACATTTATATTCGTCAAATACTTATAGCCTGTAAAACTATAACTTGTCAACGTTAATTGAATAATAGAATCATTGATTTCGTATAAGAATAATATGAAAAAATTTTTCGCTTCTGTATTACATTATATATCATATTTAAAATGTCATATTATGTTGATACAAATATTTATTTTATCGTTGAATATAAAGAATTTAAAGAAAATAATGTGGAAATATATTAATCGTGACAAGTTTGTTTTAGTGTTTGACGACAATTTAGTATTAATTACTATGGATTATAAACAATTTAATAAATAAATTCTATATTCTATTATCCTCAATAAATATGTGTGATAGAAACATTTTGAAAGTTAAAAAAAAAAACAAACAAACAAAATTGCATAAGATATATATTATTATCAATGCATCAGACCCCGTTTTTTATTGATTATACATTTGTCTCTTAGAATCGTACTGATATCATAGCCGTAATGAGAAATCTTATACTCGACGAATACCATTCACGTGATATTATACGTTTATTTTCTTTCGGTTTTGCAGCTACCAAATCACATCAGTTATATAAAAATAATTAAACACATCAACATGATGAATCATATCATGCGAGCATAAAAAATTATGCATATAAAATTATTGGACTTAAGCGAAAAATTATTATTGAAATAGTCTGTATGGCTTTCAAAGTAATTTACAGGTAATAAATATAAAAAATAACTTAGAAGCTTATCGAATTAATTTTTCAAATATAACTTATAAATATTTATTTACACTACAATAATTAATTTTTAAACATCTATTTCGTAAACAAACAAATTTTATAAATCTACATATTAGCCCTACTCTTAATAATGACACAACAATTACAACAACAAAAACAACAATAACAATATCAATAGCAATAGTAATAATAATTGATATAAAGTAGCCATCGTACATTTATTAACTATTATACATTTATTTATTGTAATATTATTTAAATATAATTATTTTAGTATATATACGATATTAAGTATGTGATAAAAGAATATTATAATTATTACATTGGAAATCATTATGGTAGTATATTTATAACGCATTATTAGATTGTATCGTGTCACAATAATATCTATTTCTATTTATGACATTAGTATTTCCCTATATGACTATATTTTATTGTCAATAGTGAATAACGTATAGAAAATTTTAATCAAATAGAAGTTTTATAACTCATTCTGATATTACAAGCATTAACTTCACTACATAATCGAAAAATTTGTATAAATTAAATACTCTGATCCGAAACTCATTACAATATTAATGAAAAATAATATTAACATTTTTAACATCTCGATCTTAAACAATCAATAAAACTTTGTACTACTATCGTACAAATTTAAAATTAGTATTGCATAATTTTTTAATAATTTTAAACAAATTAAAATTATTAAAATTGAATAATGAAAAATTTAATAAGGTAGCATTTATTTATATATTTTTCATTATTTATCATATTAAATTTATGTATAGTTGAATTTATATAATATGGTTTTGCGGTAGCTTATGTTTGCAGTTACATTATACATAAAAATATGCAGCACAGTAAAAATGAAAATTATAAAAGTACTTAGTTTTTATATAAATTATAAATAATTCTTTAATTTAATGAATTATACATTAATTTTAAATTGATATTCATATAATTGGAATGCACACAAATACATGATATATCAAGTTAAATATACATATGTACATAAAAATATATTAATATACTAGATTTGGTATTTTAACATATGAAATAACTTATTGTCTTTGCTTATATTTATTTCAGCATTAGTAATAATAATATACATTAGCAGACGATGTATAATATTTATAGAAAGTATAGAGAAATGTTTCATCAGTTGATTTTGTCAAATATATGTTATATACAAGATAAAGTGCGCTGATTCCTTTTAAATAAATATATTCCAATTGCAAAGTTAGTAAAAAGTTTCGGCTCCAAAATTCGGGTCATTTACTTGGATAATTAAAAAAAAAAAGATTAGTAAATAATATTTAAATATTATCCGAATAATTTGATCGCTGAGAAAACATGGTGTCACTATCATCTATTAAAAAATCATAATTTATGCAATAGTTTCTAAAAAGAATTGAAACGGATCTATTACACTATAATATGTTTCAATATTATTTGTTATTATTTCGATATATATTAACTAAATGTTATTAACTAAAATATTATTTTATGAGAATCAGCTTTATTGCTTTTTTTATATAAAATTATGATATAAATATGAAATATTTAGCGAGGTAAATTTAAATTAAATTAAATAAAAAATTTTATCCATTAATGTCAAAAACAGATCGAATATAGATTAAAAAATCTGCTTACACATTTTCAAATATATATCAGCAAATTTCAGTAAATGAATGTTTTATAGAAAAGATTGAAATTAAAATATCTTGACTATTCTATCGATAATCTGTTTTCAAATTTTGTAGAAAAATATAGATAAATATTGTAAATATTATATATTTAAAAAGTATAATACAAGTAGGAAATAAAATAAATAATAATTCAAATAATATGTCCTTTAATTCGGTATCTAATCCTCGGGTATAATTCGTATAAAATTACCTACATTAAGCTTGAATAATTTTAATATAAATATTAAGTATATAGTAGAGTTCATTCAGTAAAGTATATAGATAGAAAATATTAAAAAAAAAAAAAAATTCTTGAATTGAAATTAATAGTGAAGAGTAGTTTCGGAAATGTATGAATGACATTAAAATAATATAAAATATATTTAGTTGTTTAAATAAAATTTTAATCATTTGAAACTAAAATAAATTAATTTAAAAAGTAGATAATGATTTTTACTTACAAAAATCAGATGATTCTATATAATAAAATTAATTCGGTAAATTTTAAAAGCCACATTAAACATGTTATAATTTTTATTTACATTTGATTAGTACATACATAATTAATTTCTATTGATTTGTCATACATAATTTTGTGAATACCACATTTTGATAATCAATGTCATTGGACGCCAAAAGAAGATTAAAATAAAAGTAGATATATATTATATTGTATTTTATAAGACACATTCAATTATTCGACGAAAATTAATAAAAATAATTCAGACTAAAAAATAAAAAAATATTTATAAAATTTATAGAAAAAATATTATATATATTTTATAAATATTAAAATTTATACATTATGATTCTATATACGATATGTTATTAACTCGAATAGAATCATTTTTTCATATAATTGTTAAATACAAAATTTTACATAAAAATCAGTCCCTGGTTAAAAATAATATTTACATGTGTAAAGCTGCAAATTAATTTCATAAATTATACTGTTTAGAAGAATATTTAAAAATGAGATAAAACATTATTCGAATAATTCTACTACATTTATTAATTTCTAACAAAAAACATTAAATCTGAATATGTATAATAATATTAAAGATTTATAATATGTGTCATAACCTACATAATAAAAATCATCCTAAGTATTATTACGAAAATCTGTTATTCAGACTGAATATAATATGTATCCAAAGGTAAGGCAATGCCGATGATAAAATCAGTTAAATAAAGTATAATTAATACGATATTCTAAAACAATTATTTAATAATTTTTCATTGTTTTTATTGATGATTTTTACTTAATAAATATGCAACATGCATATTATTTAGTTTATAGGCATTTATTGACTGAAAATATAAAATACATAAAATACGTATTCATATTTCATAATCAATATATACAGACGTAATAATCTTGTATTATTAATTTTTTATTTTAAACCTATATGTTATTAAAAGCTTTTAATCAAACTAATGAAATACATAGATTGGTCTTATGTTTAATAAATAAATAGTCGAGCAGAAAATTTAATCTTTTTTTTTAATTAAACTTTGAATTGTGAATGACATAGCGATATATGAATATTTTGATTGTTCCATTGAAGTAAATACAGTAAAGTCAACTTATGGAAAATTTTTTAGAAAGAAATGTTTGGTAATCATTTAAATAATTTGAAGTATATTCAGTTTTTAATAAGATCCTAAGCAGGAACAACGAAAACAACTGGATCTTCAAGTATATTATTGAATAACATTTTTATTGCAATGGAGAGCATTTGCATAAGATAATTGTAGTGCTTTATTTTACTCAAATAAGTTGAATTAAACTTACAATAAGTAAATTATGATTAATATAAAATAAGAGTTTCTTCAATTATGTAAATTAATTTTTTTTAATTTTTAACTAAAATTTTATATCTTTAAAGTTCGTATAATTTCCTTTTCCATAGTAAAACATTAATGTAGGATAAAATATTTTGTTCCTATACTTGAACCAACAGAATTTTATCTTACTAATGTTTATTCCTTTTTTTATTTTTTTTTTTTTTTTTTTTTTTTTTTTTTTTTTTTTTTTTTTTTTTTAATATATTAAGCTATTAAAAATATAGAAAACTTTCGAAAAAGAAAGAACTATCACTACTTCTAGTAATGGAACATTATCTAGATCAATAACATCTGTCTGGCACACACGGATTAGTCATTAATGCATTAATGCATGTTAAATTAAACATTATAAATGATCCCTCGACGGGTAGTCTAACATTGGCCTAACATACCGAGAGAAATCTGTCAGATGGATATTAATTAGCACAAACCTAGGCAACCACCGAAAAGAAACCGACGCCGAATGGTAGAATATGCTTGGCGTTTCGTCGCGTTTCGAAGTCCGAGGTGACTCGAACCTGCGACGTAGTTTCGTGTCTACTCGAGATTCTCACCGCGGGTACCGCAATTCCTCTCGTGCTTCTTCTTCCTTTTGCGGCGCGGTTTGGACCTCCCTGCCTCGACAGTATCCTGCTCCTGACTCGATGGCGCCGGTGCTGACTCCGCCCTAACGGCAATGCTCTCGCGTGTCCTGCGGAACAGTAAATGTGGCCTCGTCTTATCCCGCGAGTTATACCTGTGCTCATGCTCCCTGGCCACTGGCTCAAGCCAAACCTCTCCGTGATCGCCGTGTAGGAAACCTGCCTGAAAAATGAAGAATACCATTTGGACGAAACGATCATTTGCGATTTGCGATTTGCGACAACATGCCACAGTTAATTACGTATTGCCGGTGCAATACTTAATTCCGCGATTTTCGTTTCGGGTTGTCAACTAGGGTTAATAGCCTAGTAAAAACTAGGCTACTCCTTTACAAGGTACATTAGTCTAGGCGGTTGGTCAAGTCTTTCGTGATACATACAATAGAAATGGAAATGTATTATATTATTATGATAATCCTCTTGAAAAACTTTACCGCCGAAACTGTGTACTAATCTTTTTTAGAAATAGTAGTGTATTTACTCAAGAATTAATTGAAAAAATCAAATAATATAATATTATTAAACGATTTTTTACTATTTCAATGGTACTAATTGTTGTTTGCTTTATGTTTATATAGGCAGAAATACATGCACTATCGGATATATTGGGGCCTTAATTTATGGATATTGGTAATTCTTGTTGAATCAAGTATAAAAATTGTTAAATTATTAAATTTATTTGTTAACAATTCTTATAGCATTCATAATAATTATATTATATATATATATATATATATATATATATTTATTTATTTATTTATTTATTTATTTATTAAAAATATATATTTAAGAGATAATATTTGATTAATTAAAATATTAATTAACTTATAAAATAAAATTATCGTCTCGGAATGATATGTACAAATTAAATTCTATGATCCTTTGAAAATTGGACATATAGCTCGAAGAGCAATCTGATTATGAAGTCCGCATAACCGCAAAGTTAAACTATAATAAACCGCTTTTATTATATATATATATATATATATATATACAATATATTGCATATTCCGGCATTTACATATATGTTTAATGGTATTATATGTTCGCTTATCTTTTACTAATTTTTCAATTAATGTATACATAAATTACAATTTTTAATTAAAGAAAAAGTTGAGCGTTTGTTATTTTTTAGATTGGGTTAAAACATGGCAATACTTAATTAAAAAAAGACTTTCATTTTATTTTATAAAATTTTTTCTATATCTCAGAATTCAATTAAAAACACCCAACATACTAAATTTTAAAAATAAAAAAATTAGAAGAACTAAATTTCATTGAAAATATTAATATCTCCAGTAATAAATAAGTTACAGTAAAATATACAAACATATACAGTAAGAGAGAAACCGAATAAACGGCAACAGTAAATATTCTTTGCATGAAAAGCTCACAGCGTTCTTGCTTATCGAGTATATAAAATCTCAAAAATAACAATAAGCATGGCAGAAAATTAGACAGAGACAGAAAGAGAAGGAGGTGGAAGAAGAGAAATAGAGAGAGAGAGAGAGAGAGAGAGAGAGAGAGAGAGAGAGAGAATGAAGGGGACAAAGAAAAGACAAATAAGGGACGAAGAAAAACGTAAAAATAATAATAATAATAAAAAAAAAGTGATTATTGTGAGGCCTAACTTGGCGCATTTTAAGCTTTCTTCTTTATTCAAATTCGAAGCAGAAACAGAACTATTTCTACAAGACCACAATCACCCTTGTGCAGACAGATTGAAGGAATGCTTATTATTTTCTTAATTCCCCTTCGCCACTACTTTTTGCTTTCTTCGTTTGATTTTGTTTGCTATAATGAGAGTGTTGTGCTGATGAGAGCTGGGAGCTGGAGATTAGTCGGATAAGAGATTTTATTCATCACTACTATATGGAGCTACGAAGCATACTTTTTGCGGGCATAGCATACATAAATTTTGTCGGTTATGCGATTAGTTGCCTAAATAAGATAAGCAACGATACTCTTTTATATACATTTTTGATATATATAAATTTTTCCTCTTATCAATTACAAAATTAAATAATATTTGGTCCTTTTTATGAAAATACATCGGGTTTAAAATTTAAACATTAAAATTCAATATTCATTTCTTTCACGTCTCTATTATATGTAATTAGATCTTCAATAATATGTTGTAATTAATAATGTTACTTTATTCATTATAATAATATATTATAAAATACTCGTGAAATATTTTATATATTATTTTAAATATAAATTAGAATTATAAATTATTTTAATTTTGTATTTATTATTTTAAATATTATGCGTATATATTATATTAATAATATTAATATCTATCAATTTAATCAATTGTTTTCTTAATTTTTTATTTTCATATTTAGATTAATATTTTAACTTCTTCTACATTCATTAGTCATCTTTATGCAATAGTTAAAATTCTGACGTAACATTATTCCTTTGTTTCCTCCAATAAATATACTACTTTTTTATAATATCAAACATATTAATTATAATTAACTTACAGATTGAATTTTAATAACAGCATATCAATTATGTATATATTTTAAATAAATATTTATTAAGAAAAAACCATAAAACGAAAGTAAAGATTGACTGTAGGTGGCCATCGACAGAATCGAAACTATTATAAAACAAATTAAATCTATGTTTTAATATTTATCAAACAATAAAATAAACATAAGAAATCAATGTAATGCATATTTCAAATTCATAAAATAATTTTAATAACAGTAAGAGTTGAAGGCTTATAGAAGGTAATCAAAATTGCACTGGATTACAGAAGACACATGAAATTTATGATAGTTATGGCGTCAGTACCGATTACGTCACTAGTCACTACCGCTTGCGTTGTCTAATATAGACGATAGTCTAGATCGCCCAACCACTCGCGCAAGGATCCTTCCTTTTTCTTGATTTTTTTTTTTTTTTGCCGCCTTCGCCACCCACTCGAATCTCCAAGCCTCTCCCGTTCACTGTATGCCCCGATAAGTAAATTTTCGTTGCAATATTATAAAACAATATTTTTTAGAAAAAACTCTGACAAAAATTCAATTTAGTATAGCAGAATTAGAGCTTTTATTTGAAGTAATAACTTTATCTGCTATAAAAATAAATTATTGCGAAAATGAATCCAATAATATGAAGAATAAGATTTTTTTATATATTTTAGATGTAAGAAGATGCTTTTTTTTCAAATTATATACTACTCTGAGTTCAATAAAACCGAATAAACTTACTTTAGTATAGAAGACATTTTTATTTAATTTTATAAGTAACTTTAAAAGTATGTAACTTTAATACGAGTCTTACAGTTCGCATAAAATTTTATTTAATACCTTACTGCTTTGATAAAAGCTGAATTATTATTTATACACCAAATTTCTTTTCCGCCCAAAACGTTATTTTATATTGAAATAATATAACAAATAAACAATAAATATTATAATCACTGTTTAAACATAATTCTAATAATTATTTTAAATAACATATTATTTTCCTAATTAATCTAAAAATAAGTCATCATAACGCGAATAATTTTTTGAAAATGTTTAGTAATCAATTTCTCATTATTACTACATGAAATTAATCAATTTATTTAATATTAATACATGAAATTAAACTTAATTCTAATTATTTTATATTAAATAAATATTAATATAAAATGAATTTTACATTGCATTAAATTCGATTTATATAAGATTTAATTTTAATGATGTCAATATTTCGATTAAGCAAATAACAATAACTCAAAATTTCTTATATTTATATCAGTTTTTATTAATGTATGTATAAATAGAGTATCAGATTCATAGTTTTATATAAAAATTGTGTGCACACAATATATTAAAATATGTTTGACTATCCACTACCGTTTGTAATATTACTGTTGTATTATTAACTCCCGAAAGTGGTAAAAACACATTTGATCAATACATATATTAAGATTTTTAATACAGTATTTACTATGCCTAATAATTTGGTATATTGGTATAACAAAATAATATAATGATATAACAAAACAAAATATAAATTCATAATAATACTAGTCGATGTAATTAAATATATTACAAATACTGAAACTATTTTAATAATTGAAGAAGATTTCATTTATGATTTTTCATTTTCATTTATGTATTTATTATCATATGACTAACTTTCGCATAGAATTCCTTTTGCAATAAATAATAGTACATAACCGAATAATAAAATTAGTAGCACTCGAATAGTCTATCTGCGTCAACTTTTTAAAATTGAACGCTTCCAACTACCCTAATATAATTTCAACGGAAAGCTTTCGAAGTTATTTAGATTTATTATATAAGGAAAAGCGAATAGAGGAGAATATTGACCAAGCGGCTGGTGAAGACTAGCTCGAAACTGATCCCTACCAACATAAAATTAATTAAAATGGCAGTAATATGCTTTTCGTGGGTATTAAAATTTATTATCTACATATACGAACGCAGTTTTATTTCTCTTATCATACCGTAATAATGTAAAGAGCAATAGTCGCGTCGAATATTTAATACTCAGTATTTGTTAGATCTCCTAGCCAACAAATGTTGATTATCCGGTGAACTATCCGAGCTTTCAATGTGGTGACAATAATAGAAGAGGAATATAGTATTAATTTTCAGATATGATTAGACAGTATCAAAATTATAATCGTGATTTATCTTCTTTTACTTCTTTGAATATTCATGAGTCGTATTGTGACGTACTGTATTTAGTCGTACTGACTCAATGTTTTACAATCTAAAATTAATTTTTTGTACTTTTATGCAATACATTTCAAAAAACTATATATATATATATATATATATATATATACGTATGCATACACCGAATAATTTGTTTAACTAATAAATATAAAATGTTAAATTTATGAATATAATTTACTTAAAAATTTTGTACAGATTCTTCAATTACATATTTAAATATAAAATACTGAAGAATAACGCAATTAACATATGGAATTTAATACGTAATAATTTATTAAATGAATATTTTTAATAATAATAATTCTTTTAATGATATATATGTAATTCAATAAATACGAATCAAATATGAAAATCATTAAATTATTGCATTATATAATTATTAAATAAAATATATTTAACATAATTTATCATATATTAAATATAATTTTAAATCAACCAAGTAATTAGAA